CTGGATTAAAACCAGACTATCTGGGGGGCTAACATGGTGGAGTGTCATGGTTGGTCCTCTGCTTGTGGCTCCTATATCCCTGTTTGAATCCCAGCTGCTCTACTTCCAATCCAGCTCCCTGCTTGTGGCCTGGGAGGGCAGTTGAGGACAGCCCAAAGCATTGAGATCCTGCACACATATGGGAGACCCAGAAGAAGCTCCTGGCTCCTGGCTCCTGGCTTCGGCTTGACTCAGCTCTGGGCATTGTGGCTGCGTGGGGAGTGAATTAATGGACAGAAGATCTTCCTCTCTGTTTCTCTCCTCTCTGTATAATTGACCTTGCAATAAAAAAACAAATCTTTCAAAAAATATGGGGTATCTGGGACTCTAACCAGCATTCTGATGTGGGGTGATAGTGTCACAAGTATTGGCTTAGCCCTTTGTACTGCAATGTTAGCCTTATAGTTTTCATATTTAAACTTGCTGATAAAGGTGTTTTTTGTCATAGATACAATGGTACCTGAAAATGTTTGTAGAACCATTGTTTAAAACATGTTAGGTTTGAGATCCAGGCAAGATATATTTTTTTAAAGATTTATTTTTATTATTATTATTATTTTTTTTTTTTATTGGAAAGGCGGATATACAGAGAGGAGAGACAGAGAGGAAGATCTTCCGTCCGATGATTCACTCCCCAAGTGAGCGCAATGGCCGATGCTATGCCGATCCGAAGCCAGGAGCCTCTTCCGGGTCTCCCACGTGGGTGCAGGGTCCCAAAGCTTTGGGCCGTCCTCGACTGCCTTCCCGGGCCACAGGCGGGGAGCTGGAAGGGAAGCAGGGCTGCCGGGATAGAACTGGCGCCCATATGGGATCCCGGGCGTGCAAGGCGAGGACCTTAACCACTGCGCCACTGCACTGGGCCCCCAGGCAAGATATTTTTTTCATAAGTGACTCTGAACATTTAAAAAAGTGTCTGCTGTTGTTGTATTGAAAGACAGACCAAGAGAGATCCTCTATCTAGTGGTTCACTCCCCAAGGGCCCGCAGTAGCCAAGGCTGGACCGGGGTGAAGCCAGGAGCCTGGAACTCAACCTGTGACTCCTGTGCAGGTGACAGGGGCACAAGTCCTTGAGCTGCCTCGTTGCAGTAGCAGGAATCTGGATCAGAATGTAATGGGGACTTGAATCCAGGCAGCATTCTGAGTGGCTACTTAACTAGGATTTCATAGACATCTTTGAGGCCCTTATTTATAGGAGTTTCAAAATGTTCGTACTTAAAGTTTAGTTGTACTTCCCATGAACTTTGGAAGTACCCTTGTGTTACTTTTAGCTTACTCTCAAAATATGTTCATGTTTAGGGATTGGTGCTGTGATGTAGGTAGGCTAAACCATTGCCTGTGGTGCCTCACTGGCACCAGTTTGTGTCCTGGCTGCTTCAGCTCTGGTACAGCTCTCTGCTGGTGGCTTGGGAAAGCGGCAGAGGATGGCTCACATGCTGAAGGGCCCCTGCACCCATGTGGGTGTTGCTGCCACTGAGATCATTTGGGGAGTAAACTAGTGGATGCAAGATTGCTGTCTCTCCTTCTCTCTCTGTAGCTCTGCATCTCAACTTTAAAAATGTATATATATGTTTATGTCTAAAATGACTTGCCTTTCTGAAAAATGCCTCTGAAGGAGGAGTGGGTGTATATTTTCACAAGATGTAGAGAAGGAACATAGCAAAGGAGTCTGAAGACTTGGGTTTCCGTCCCAGTTCCCTGGCTGGAAGAGCAGCTGGACTGCAGGACAATCCTTTGTCTTTTCCGACCCTCTGTTGTGTCATTTGAAACAGCAGCGCAGGATTGAATCATCTCCAGTGCTAATTTTAGATGAAAACATTTTATTTTTCCCTGAGCCTCATCTGGCAGCCAAAGTTGGGCCTCCCAAGGATCAGGCAGCTTGGCCAAAGACAAGCAGTGGATTAGTGGTGGGGATGGAGTGACAGGTGGGGCTGCGGCACAGATCTCCCTCGTTCCTCTCTTCCTGAGTAGGTAGTTCTTCCGGCCACCAGGAGCTTTAGGGTCTGCACAGGAAGTTCACACACATGGCCTTGGTTCAACCCCTTCCGCCGGGTGGATTGGGCTTTGTGCGCTTCAGTCCAGGGTTCTACTCAGGGCCACGTATCATCTCAGGACTAAGTGAAATACCGGTTGATTCTGTAACCCAGCACACCCAGATGTGAGTGTGGGCTCCTCTCTCCTCAGTGACATTTCTGAGTTGAAACAGCCTCATGCAATGCCACTGTCTGTGTCCATTTTGTGAGTAGTAACACACTCTCACAGACTGGATCAGTCACCACGAGAGTTCATTTTGGCTCAGGATTCTGGTCCAGAGTTGAGGGGCTGCATCTGTCAGTGACGAAGTCAGTGCAGAGCATCAAACATTTTCTAGTCTCTTCTGGTAAAGCCACTGGACTTCTTTCTTTTTCTTTTTTTTTTTTTTTAAAGATTTATTTATTTTTATTACAAAGTCAGATATACAGAGAGGAGGAGAGACAGAGAGGAAGGTCTTCCATCCGATGAATCACTCCCCAAGTAGCTGAAACAGCCAGTGCTATGCTGATCCAAAGCTAGGATCTAGGAACCTCCTCCAGGTCTCCCACGCAGGTGCAGAGTCCCAAGGCTTTGGGCTGTCCTTCACTGCTCTCCCAGGCCACAAGCAGGGAGTTGGATGGGAAGTGGAGCTGCCGGGATTAGAACCGGCGCTCATACGGGATCCTGGTGCGTCCAAGGCGAGGACTTTAGCTGCTATGCCATGCTGCCGGGCCCCAAGCCACTGGATTTCAATCAGGGGGTTCCATCTTGGTGACATATCTAATCTTGATCAATCTTCCCAGGACCCTGCCTCTCAACCCCAGAGTCAGATGTTATTTCTACCCTTACAACAGCTCACAATATGAATCAAATTTCAACAAATGAGTACCTGGGAGACACAGTCCATCCATGTCCAGTCCACAGCTGACACCCATGGTAGCCACTCCCTGGTGTTTAGCTTCCTTTGCACCTGTCTGTTGTCATTGTCCCTTTAACATTCTTCAAGCACATTTCTCCATGTCTTTATTGTGGTGTTTAAGCTGCACCAATTATCTTGGTAAAACTCACTGCCACATTTTTAAAGACTTATTTATTTATTTGAAAGGCATAGTTACAGAGAGGGAAATACATGCACACGCATGGAGATCTTCCATCCACTGATTCATTTTCCAGAAGACTGCAGTAGTCAGGTCTTGGCCAGACTAAAGCCAGGAGCCAAGTTGCTCTTCCCAGTCCCCAGAATGGGTGTCAGGAGCCTGAGAACATGAACCATCTTCTCTGCCTTTCCCAGGCCATTTTCAGGGAGATGGATTGCTAGTACAGCAACTGGCACTTAATTGGTGCTCTGTTATGGGATGCCAGTAGTGGCTTCATATGCTGTGCCACAGTGCTAGCCCCTTACTGCGACATTTCTTATAGCTATCTGTGTAGAAAATGGAAGGATATTTGCCACTGTTCAGTTGTGCTAATTATATAATGCATGGTTGTGGAAAACAGGAAGGGAAAACGAGAGAGACAGTTCCTTCTTAGTCTGCAGGAGGAGGCATTGAGGATGGAAGTGTTAGCTGCTGATGCTTTGCATTTGACCAGAGAAATCCCCGCCGGCCTTGGGCATTCCTGTGGCTAGCTCCAGACCTGCTTATGTGGAGTGATTGCTGCAAATTCCCTCCTGTCGCTGTTCCCTCCTGTCCCTCCTGTCCTGTGCTACCAAGTTGTGATGACCACCACCTTGGCTGCTGTAGCAGAGTAGCTGAGACTGGGTGACTTATGGACAACAGAGACTCCTCCAAGTCTGGAGACCAGGAAGTGCAAGGTGCAGGGGCACGGGCTTTGCTGGTCTTCCTGGCCTTCCTGCCGTGGTTTTCCATGGCAGAAGACTCAAAGGGCCAGACAGACTGTGTGAGAGAGCAAATGAGTGCACTTTCATGTGTCTAATTTTAAGTCTTTCTTAGAAGATTAATTTTTACTCAAAAGGTAGACTTTACAGAGAGAGAAAGAAGGAGAGACTTAGAGAGAAGGTCTTCCATCTACTGGTTCATTCCCCAGATGGTTGTAACAGTGAGAACTGAACTGATTGGAAGCTAGGAGCCATGAGCTTTTCCCAGGTCTTGCATGTGAGTGCAGAGGCCCAGGGACTTGGGCCGTCCTCTGCTGTTTTCCCAGGTCACGAGCTTTCTGCTGCATTAGAAGTGGAGCACCCGTGATACCAGCTGAAACCCGTATAGGATGTTTGCCCCACAGTGTGGAGGATAAGCTTGCTGTATCACTGTGCTGGTCCCTGCTTTTGTAATAAACCTACTTTTTTGATAACCAGTGCATCACCGCAAGAAGGACACTGAGCAGGGTCTCCCCTGTCAGCTCTGCTGCTCTGGGGATTAAGGTTCCCACACTTTCCTTTTAGAGGGCAGGGCTGTAACCATAGCAACCTCCCTAGGTGAGTGCCTCCACAGCCCACGTGCTGACCACACTCTGATGACAAGAAAGGTGATGTAGTAGAGGGTGAGTAGAGAGAACTGTCGTGAGGAATAGCCTGCTAGGCTGCAGAGCACCCCTGTGTGTGTGTGTGTGTGTGTGTGTGTGTGTGTGTGTGTGTGTATCTATGTGTGCGAGCATCCATGTGTAATGCTACACGGTCACTGAGACTTGTGGCCATGCCCCAACCCAGGACTGCTGTGACACACCTGCCTTGCTCAGGGGTACGGAGCCCCACACCAGTAAACAACTTGCCTACCAGCTCATCCGAAAGCACACCCAGGAGGCTCTGTCATCATGGCTGCTCCTCCCCTCTAAGCTCCGATCTCATTTGGTTGGGGAAACATCTCTAAGCTCCTGTCTTCAAATCTCTTCCCTCCTACCCACCGTAGTGTTAATTTTGTGTGTGCCATGCATGTTGTTTTGGAGTATTACTCTCTTGGGGATGAGAATGATTTTTTTCTCTCTCTCACATGCAGGATTTGGAGAAAAGTGGCAGATCCAGGAAAAACAATATAGGTGAGTAACGACTTTGTGTGACCTGAGTGTGTTCTTGGTTGTATTTGTCATAACTGATGTTTTGGTGAAGTGCATCCTTCTTTCCAGTTTTAATTATGGGGTAAGGAAGATTGGCGCTGTGTGGGAAGAGAGTACATGGCGTGTTGGTCTGAGCTTCACAGCTTTTCTGTTGGGTTTAATTCCTCAGCCGCCCATCACTGATGCTTCAGTGATGGCAGAGTGTTGACACAGAGATGACTGAGGCCAGTCTGGGACATGGGGGCCTATGTCTGGTGGGAGAAGGACAAGGGGTGGCCCTTGCTTACACCATGCTCTCCATAGGGTTGGGCTCCCTGCTTGTTGACCTCAGAATGCTCATGGCACTTGGGGAGTCGGCCCACTACACCCCCCATAACACCCATTGTGAGGACCCTGCGTGGAGTCTGACCCTTGCCTTCTTTGCAACGCCTCCTTCCTGCTTCTGTCCCAGCCCATCCCCACCTTGTTTGCCCTGCTTTTGAAACGCAGTTTTGCTCTCCAGGATCCTGTAAGCACATCATGCTTGCAACGAAGTCCTGGTCTTTTTGTCTTTCTTTTCTTCCTTCCTTCCTCCCTCCTTTACTTTCTCTCTGTCTCTTTTTTTTGCAACTTATTTATTTTCCTTTGAAAGGCAGAGTACAGAGAGAGGAGAGACAGAGAAGCCTTCACCTGCTAATTCATCTCACAGATGGCTGCAGCAACTGGAGCTGGGTCAGGCTGAAGCCAGGACCTAAGAGCATCTTCTGGGTCTTTTGCTTGGGTATAAGGGCCCAAGGACTTGAGCCATTTCTCTGCTGCTGTAGCAGGGAGCTGGATTGGAAGTGGAACAGCTGGTTGTTGAACCTCTGCATGTATGGGTTGCAAGCACTACAGATGGAGGCTGAAATGGCAATGCCATGGCACTAGTGCCCATGTGGAAGCAAGTTTCAAGGTGCGAGTGGAGCGTGAGACTGGATCGCTGTAGGAGGTGCCTGTTCTGATCCCAGAATAGGCAGGGAGACCTGGAAGGAGATCTTTGGATAAGAGGGGAAGGAAAGGGAATGCTTTGTTTCCTAGCCTGTTTTATTTTTTAATTAATCAGTTATGAGTGAATTACTTCGAGAGACCAGGAGATGGACAGATTGACCTTTCGTCTCCTGGATCACTCCCCAAATGACTGCAATAGGTAGGGGTGGACCAGACTCAAGCCAGGAGCCTGGAGTGCAAGCTGGGCTTACCACATGCCAGGAGGCAACTGCGGGAGCCGTCTTCTGCCTTCTAGGGTACACACTGGCAGGAAGCTGGAATCAGAAGTGGAGTTGTGACTTGGACCTAAGCTCCCTAATATGGGTTCTTGTCATCCCAACCTAGAGGTTTAAGTCCTGGGTCAGATGCCCTTCCCTTGGGCTTGGATTCTGGGAAGCTGTTCAAAGGGGCGGGAGAGGGTGCTTGGTCCACACGGCCCCAGTGGAAGTGAGGGCGACCATTGTCCAGGGAGAGCAGAGATTAGGATCTGCAGACACCAAGAGCAGCCGTATTTAATGGGCCATCATAGTTCATTTTTCCTGTCCATAGTACAAGGTTCGATCCCTCTTCCCTGAGGAGCACTGCCAACCCTGGTTGACCCAGGGTTGCCAGACCCAGGGATCTGTTTATATGTTTATGAGAACTGATGGGTCTCCTCATAATAAATGATTATTAACTGGCTAGATGACCTCACCCTGGAACATGGGCTTGGAACTACCCTGGGAAAAATGACCCCAGGCAAGGAAATTTTCATACTTGCAGTTGCAGATGACAAATCCCGTGAAACCTCACCTCATATCCAGAGAGGAGCCAGGGGCCTTCTAGTCACAGTCATCTTGTTAGCCTTGGGGAGCCTGCATAGTCCCAGCAGCACTGTGGAGTCTGAGCACCTCCTGGGCTCAGTCTGCAGGCCCAGGTCACAGCTGCCATGAGCCATGCGAGGGACTAATCGATCCATTAGATTTCAGCTCACCGTCTGGCCAAATCGACGCACGATTATTCTGGGCACGTAGGACCTCACTGGAGTGGCTCTTCACATGTGTGTAAATACGCGTGTTTATCTGGCAGCTTTATGTCAGATGGTTACTCGATAGTCACCTTTGGTCAGAAGAACATCGTAGTATTGATTTCTCATGAGGGAAGCAGCAGTGTGATGAAGTCTTTCCCTCTAGGTGATTTCTGACCAGGAACATTAGCACTGAGTGAGTGCATGGCTCCGCAGCGGAAGGAGTGGGGGCCTTTGCTCTCTGTGCCCTCCACAGCACAGAGGGGGTTACTCTTCCTGCGCATCCTTTCTGAACCCTCTGCAGTTCCTCCATGCTCCCTGCAGCTCCCCATCGACTTGCACACCACAGTGCTGCTTCCCGTAGCCTTGACTAATGGCTTTATCTTCTCCCTCTTACCTGTCAGGCTCATTGTTATTGCCAGGCACTTAGTGGGCCACTCGTTTACTGCACGTTCCTGAAGGAGAAGCAGCAGTGATCTGTCTTGAGTTGTGGCAGTGTCTCCTGAACACCAAGTGCAAGAGTTTAGAAAAGGAAATAGAAGGGTGGTGGCAGCAGCAGCGTCTTTAGCCTGGTCGCCGGGCAGTAGGATGGGATGGCACTGACTGCTGAGATTTGGACTCAGCCAGCATGTGGTCCTGCCGGCAGGGCTTAGGTCAATGTCAGAGGCTGCTGCTTAGTGCTAATGCAGGGAGCAGCAGGAATTTCAGCATCGAAGCTGTTTCAGCAGCATCCTGATAACCTGGTTCTCCCTCTGGAACAGGTGGGGCTGACTGCCTGAATGATTAGTCTTTATTCTCACAGGCCTGTGGGCGTGGGGAGTCCTTCCCCTTGTCTCCTGTAATCTTGCCACCATTCCCTGTCCCACTGACTGCTTACCCTCGCCTACCTGTAAATAGGTTCGGGGCCCTTGATTTAACTCTATCTTCCAAACCTTCCCTGCTCCCTCTTTGCATGCCTCCCTTCCTGCCTTGTTTTTGGCCTGTCCCTAGGGCATAGCATCTTCATCTCCTGTTCTGGGGAGACCCCAGGGCCTGGGTTTACAAGCAAGCCCCTTCCCTGGCGCAGACATCTTTCATGAGTTGGTGGGGTGGAATCCGCCTCCCTCTAATGTTAACAGCCGTAGTGCCCACGCCCCTTCTCAGATGTGCCAACCAGACTCCCTCAGGGGTGCTGCAGAGGTGAGATAAGGCAGGCAGTGGGCTCTGTGATAGCCTGGCTGCTGCCCTTTCCGTGAGTTTGCAGAAAACCGGTTGCTTTTAAAAGGACACTCAGGAGAGCCCTTGTCTCAGCTTTCCTCTCACTGCCGGGCATGTAGTGGCTCCTCTTCCCAGCCAGGCTCAGGCACTTCTGCTCTGCTGCTTGTTCCTCTGTGTGCCGGGTGCATGGTACCTAGTAGGGACTCAAGAGGTTTGCTGAGCCTGAACGAGCACATGGAGCCTGCGGAGTGTGAGGAGGGGAGGGCCTGCCTGGTTTCTTAAGGGCTGTGTTAGAAAGAGAAGAAGTAACAAGTTGCAGGAGGTGACCCGGACAGCCGGGAGGGGCAGAGTTGCTTGCTTGCTTCTTGCAAAGCTGCTTGCTGCACAGCAGGGCCGCTGTGTGTGAGGACAGTGGCAGCTCTGCCGAACTGCTGAGGAAGTGGCAGGACGTGGTGACTGTGGTGAACATGACATTCACCTTTTGACAGATGCATCTGCTATTTATTTAATTTATTTTTAAAAGATTTATTATTATTATTTTTGTATTGGAAAGTCAGATATACAGAGAGGAGGAGAGAGAGAGGACGATCTTCTGCCTGCTGATTCCGTCCCCAAATGGCCCTCCCCATCAGGAGATCTGGATTCTTTATGATTTGTGTATATAGTTTTTTTTTTTTTAATTGGAAAGGCAGATATGCAGAGGGAAGCAGAAACAGAGAGGAAGATCTTCCGTCTGATGGTTCACTCCCCAAGTGACTGCAACGGCCAGTGCTGCGCTGATCCGAAACCAGGAGCCAGGAACTCTTCCGGGTCTCCCACACGGGTGCAGAGTCCCAAGACTTTGGGCCGTCCTCGACTGCTTTTCCAGGCCACAAGCAGGGAGCTGGATGGGAAGCAGAGCAGCCGGGATTAGAACCGGTGCCTGTATGGGATCCCGGCCAGGAGTCAATGCCAATAAATAAAGCAGCAGCTCCATCTGTCGAAAGGTGAATGTCATGGTCACCAGAGTGAGTCATCCGACGAAAGGTCCTCCTCTCTGTCTCTCCTCCTCTCTGTATATCTGACTTTGTAATGAAAATTAAAAAATTTTAGAATCTTAAAAAAAAAAAATTAGGTCCTTGAACCACTTGGAGCTGATTTAAAAAAAAAGAACCAGTGCCCCTATGGGATCCTGGTGTGTGCAAGGCGAGGACTTTAACCACTACCCTATTGCACCAGACCCCATCGAGTATATAGTTTTGCAAGCTGTTGAGTTTTAGGTTTGTTTGGCAACTTTCAAATGTGGGATTGATTTATAATCTGTATCAATCAATGCCGATTTTTATTACAGTTTGGTATTCCAATCCACATGTCATAGGGGAGGGTATTTGGATTGCTTCCAGTTTTTTCTCTGTCACACAGTGCCAGCGGACACCTGGCATGCCCTGGAGAGTCTTGAGGTGACTAGTAGGAACGGGATTCCTAGGGCCGTGGCATTGTGCATCTTTGGCTGGTAAAGTTTGCAAAAATTAAAAAAATTATCCCTGCACCTTACCTTCCCCATTCTTAGGACAAACACATCTTTTTCATTCCACACTTGATATGTCGATTTAGGTTGCTGTTTCAGATGTATGTAGTAGGTGAACTTAACTCTTCAGCTGGAGCCCTGGACATTGGCTCAAGACATCCATGCGTTCACTGTGGAGAGCCAAGAAGCCAGTTTAAAATAGACTTGGGCATCTGCAATGTTCACATTTCTATCAACTCCCAAAGAGGAGGAATCAGGTTGTATTCCGTAAGTTGTTTAGCATCCTTTGACATTTTTATTGAGTTTTAACGAAAGAGCATTTTGGCTTATTTTTAGGATCTAGATGGCTCACTCTGGAGCTGTCTGCTGTATGAATATTTGAATGAGTGAAGTGAATGGAACTGTAGAACTGAATATAAGGTCAATAAAGTATAATAGAATAAAAATTAAAACCAAATTGGTGGTCCTGAGCTGAGATGTTAAAGAGAAGTGCTTCTGGGAGAGGTCAGGCTTGTATCGATTTCCCGTTAGCCTGGCTGGAGGCCACGATTCACGTGACACCTGCCTTTTGCCAACACCTATGTCTGGTGACAGGGCGTTAGCACAGTGACTGTTTCTGTATTATCAACTCAGAGACTGGGGTGACTCAGAGTGCTTCTCCAGTGTGATGTGTATCCTGGGCCTCCCCCTCTGGTGGCCAGCCAAACAGCTATGAGTGTGACATGGTGTCCTCGCTGCTTGTCAGCGTGGAAAGCTACCTGCCAGGGCCAGGGCGGTCTCAGCCTTTCCTGGGCTAGCTATTGCAGTAGCACTTCAAAAGCTTCATGCAAAGGGCAATTAAGAGGTAGTTCCATGCACCGTGAGCTTTTGGAAGAACGGTTCCTGCTGGTGTGGCGGTGCGGGCTGCATCTATGCAATACTGACTGCTGCTGCCCAGCTGTGGTGGCATTGTAGGCACAAGCTCTTGCTCCTGGCGGGGTGTCCTGTGAGCCAGGGCAGGGATTGTGTGATTCTTTATTCGCTCATCCTCGTGAACTCATGCGGTGGATAGTCACTGTTGAATGTTATCTTCAAGGGTCGTCCAAAACACGTAGTGTGTGTGTTTGCCAGGGCTGCATGCCAGAGAACCACATGTGATAGAATTTACAAGAGAAATGTGCTCATGTTCTGGGGGCCAGAAGAATGAGGTCAGAGTGTGGACAACATTGGTCCTTCTGAGGGCCACCCGGGAGAATCCTTTCCAGGCTCTCGCGCTGGCATGTAGACACATCTTTCTCTCATCTCTCACATTCTTTTCTCTGTCTTTGTAGAAATTCCCCTCCCTATGATTTTTCTCTTTTTGAATAAGGATTAGGATGACCTCACCTTCCAACTGATGACCTTTGTAAAACCTCCAATCCAAACAGGGACACCTTCTGATTTCCTAGGGGCTGCAGAATGGGACTTTGTGCTATGAATTTGGGGTGGACCTAGTTACATGTGGTCGTGACCATTGGTGCCCTGTGGGGTTGAGTGGGAATTGCTGTCTGGTTGTAGGGTAAGCATTGGCTTGTCAGCAGTCAGGGAAGCCTGCCTTCTAGACAGTTCTGTGCTTGCTCAGTCCCATTCATTCTCCTAAACAGATGCAGGAGCATGCACAGTTTGCTGGTACAGTGAACTCTTTTTACTTACTGATTTCTAGGAAGGAAGTTTTAGAAATTGGTTCAAAACAGTAAAAATTTTATCAGTAGAATTACATAAAAATGGACTTATTTTCCCTTATTGCCTGACGCTTTGCCTGGGAGCTGGAGTTGTTTGTTTTTACTTGTTTTCAAGTTTATTTCAATCATTGTTAAAAGAAATACCCTGACATTTATTTATTTATTTTTTGGTTCTAGACTTGAAAAGCATCGTATTTGTCATCCAGAGTCAAAGTAATTCGTTTCATGCAAGAAGAGCAGAGCAATTTAAGAAAAGCATCCTGAAGCAGGCTGCAGACCTCACACAGGTACGTGAATACGGCTCCAATGTCTGCCAAGTTTGTATTTCTTGGTACTTTGATGTTTTAAGGTACTTTATCCACTGATTTGCTCTCCAAATGGCGGCAGTGGCCAGAGTGAGCAGATCCAAAGCCAGGAGCCAGGTGCCTCCTCCGGATCTTGCACATGGGTTCGGGTTCTCAAGACTTTAGGTCATCCTCCACTACTTTCCCAGGTTACAGGTAGGGAGCTGTGTGGGAAGTGGTGCAGCTGGGACATGAATTGGTACCCATATGGGATGCTGGCACTTGCAGGTGGAGGATCAGCCGCTTGAGCTATTGCACTGTTCCCTGAAAATCAGTTTTATTTAGATGATAATGACTTCTTTTTGCTTATGTGCTATTATTTGTTATTGAAAATGCTTTGGTCTATGCCAAATGCTTAAACATTCTATTCTACGTTGTCCTCTCTTTATATTTAACTTTAAAGATAGTTGCATATATGGTACATGACTTATGTAGTTTTGTCAGGAAGTTTGATACAAAAAAATGGGACAAATAAGTTCTGAAAGGCAGGGCTTACCATAACACATAATGATCAAAATTTTAGTAGCATATTCTAAGGCAATCTTCATGATGAAATAACATATTCATTAGTTTAGTGCAGTGCTTGCTTCATAAGTCTCTAAATCTGTTTTTTTTTAAACTGGATGCCATTAATTGAGCTTTTGATTTATAACATAATATTCCAAAACGCAAATAGAGAGAAAAAATCTTGCATACAGATGCATTCTAGTGACGCGTGAAATAGGCGTCCAGCAGGCCTGAAGCTGTTCTGAGCAGCACTGGAGGCTGAGGGTGAAAGGATCTGCTGCCTGGCACTGCTGCAGATGCCTCCCTTTCTGGATGAGTTATAAAACAGATTCCCCCAAGGCCTTTGCCCCAGGTTGCTGTGGCCTTGGAGTGTCTGCAGAGAAGTGCCAGCTCCTGGTTCTCTCACAAAAGAACTCTGTGACAAGAAATGGATGTGTGTGATGGATTGCTGTCTGTTGCAGGGTGCTGAAAACCGACATGTCAGAAAACGCAGTAGAAACAGTCAACCTTAGTGGAATTCACGGCAAGGAGAAGAAAACTGCCTCAATGTTTAAAGGATTTCCATGTAAACGCCATGGAACGCCCCCTCGTTTTTGCAGACAGGTTCCCTGGATTTCTTTGCTTGCAGCATCTCACTTTGTCAAGGGACAGGAGAGACGTGTACACTGTAGACAGCAGTGCTGCTAGCCAGCAGGAGATAGCAGCAAGTCGATGAGCTGAAATCAGACTTTCAGAGGCCTTCCATCCAGCCTGTGTGGATTTATTGAGAGAGAGGCAGACATACCATGTCTTTGCCTGGCTGTCCTCTTCCAGCTGTAGGGTTAGAGGCATTGGTGGGCTGGCCAGGAGAAGGGCGAAGCAGTAGAGGCAGGAATCCTTCAGGTGATCTGATGTAGCTCTAGCAAGCCATGACCATCACTCCAAATTATAAAATCAGTGAGAACATCAGAGGTAATGATGGTTCGCATCTTTTACTGACGTATGCGTTAGGAGCACATGTTTTCCTTGGTGCCCGCTCGTGCACCTGCTCTCAGAAGCACCTTCCGTTTCGCAGAGCAGTTTCATGTGTTTCGGCTATGGGTCTTCACTGTTTAATCCATGCTACTAATGAGAATAGTGACATGCTGTGCTCACCAAGTCCAGTTGCTGGGCTACAGCACCATATGTCCTCCACCACGCTTGTGCCTCTCCTTACCTGTCCCTCCCCTTCTCTCTTCTGGGAAGAGTAGTTTCTGTGGGACCTCCGATCAGGATCCTGTTCCTGGGATCTTTGTACAATAAGGATAAAGCATGTGCTAGCTTTTGGCAGGAGGCCGTAGAAATGATCAAATGTTTCTTTTTTCCCCCTTCCCTTAGGAAGCTTCCCTTAGTAGCTCCCTCAGGAGCTACTGCTTGAGACTGGGTATGCCTGCCTCCTCCGGAGGGCCTGCACCTCTTTAAAGGACAGGACCCAGGCAGGTCACTGGATGTACGGAATGGACTGTAGCCTCCAGGGCCGGATGATCAGAGGTTCCCATGGAAGCCAGACTTGGCATTGTGTGAGGCTCCTGTCTGTTGGAGCTCTCCAGGGTTCCTACTTTCCCTTGCAGAGGGCTCAGAGAAGAGTGGGAACCCACATGGCTGTTTTCTTTTGCCAAGACAAGCTGGTAAGCTGAAGGTGCCTCTGTCTGGATTGTAGCTTCGACTCCCACCACGCACCCCCATGTACTTTACGAGCCAGTCATTTTCAGACCTCTGGGGGATTAGTATCATTTCGCTGTGTTGTTTCATATGAGTTGACTCTGTCCCTGTGTTGAGTCCATTTTCCAAGTGGATGTTACCGGAGTTGCATCCCTGAAATGCATTATTTCTTCTTGCTCAGAGTTGCTCTCTTTTCAATTACAGTAGAAATATCTTCTTATTTCTATTAGAGCTTATTTATTTGAAAGGCAGAGTTAGGGCCCTGCGGGATGGCTCAGTGGCTAAATCTTTGCTTTGCATGTGCTGGGATCTCATATGGGTGCTGGTTGAGCCCCAGCTGCTCTACTTCCTATTCACTTCCCTGCTATGGCCTGGAAAAGCAGGACAGGATGACCCAAAGCCTTGGGGCCTTGCGCCTGTATGGGAGACCTGGAAGGAGTTCTTGGCTTCAGGTGGGCTCCACTCTGGCTGTTAGAGCCACTAGGGGGTTGATGCAGTGGATGGAAGATCTGTCTCTCCTTCTCTCTATAAATCTGCCTTTGCAATACTAAGTAATACATCTTAAAAAAATAGAGAAAAATCTTTCATCCACCAGTTAATTCCCCAAGTGGCTGTGACAGCTAAAGCTGAATCAGGCCCAGCTGTGAGCCTGGAATTCAGTTTAGGTCTTTTCGTGGCGTACCTTCTGTTGCTTTCCTAGGCGTGTTAGCAGTGAGCTGTCTGGGAAGCAGAGCAGTACCGCAGTGGCATGCTGCTGTTGCAGGCGGCAGCTTACCCGCTGTGCCACAATACCATCCTCAAGGCAGAAATGTGTTTCTCCCTGGGAGCAGAGCTTTGGCTGTGCACGCTGGGGTTAGGCAGCTTTGCTCCTGGGATAGTGTCTCGTCCTTGGCTGTGTGGTTCACATGTCCATTCCAGCGTGTGGAGGATGCGCAGCTTCCATTGAAGGGTGTGACCTTACAGTTGAATATGCCCCAGGATACCATCATGTGGACACACCCGTGCTCGAATATGGGTCTGGCTGGGTGCCGTGGGTCCTAACCACAAATGTAAGGAGATAGAATAGATCCTGGTTTGGGGGGTGGGGAGAACAAACAGATGTCTCTGCTAATGCCAGGATTCTGTGAATACAGCAAGTGCTTGTGAATGAACCTCTCATTCATTCGGTATGTACAGACCTACTGTGCAGCAGAGTTTTGGGGATGCAATGATCAACAAGACTGAGGTCTTTGTGCTCAGAGATCCTGAGGTTCACGAGGAGCACCTGGCCTGTTGATAAGTGATTCAAATGAAGCGTGAAGTAGTGATAGGATGGTGTGCTTGGCAGAACAAAGAAGGTACTGTGACTGGGGTGGGTGAGGAGGAGGGGAAGCTGACGAGGGGATCTGGCGCTCAGGGAGGGGTTTCTGAAAGAGCCCAATACTGACCCGAGCCTGCAAGTCAGCTTCTAGCTGGAGTGAGGACAGGATGGAATGAGGCCTTCCTGAACAGGGAGCAGGTGTATAGGAGGCCAGGCATGGTGGTGGGCAGGCACTACGTACTGTTTGGGGAAGAGTCTCGGGCAGGAGGCAGCCATGTTAGCCATCTGGGAAGGTGGTGAACGTGGGTACCACTGAGCTGGTTTGTGTTCTTTAGAGCCAGGCCTTTTTCAGGGCTCCTTAGGGGAATATCACTGACATTGGTGTGGGAGACAGTTGTCATCTCTGGCTCTGGCAGTACAGACAGGCGTAGCCCTGGTCACAGTGGCAGGTGGAAATGACTGTTAGGGAGAGCTGCTTTGGGAGAGACCTGGCTGACTTGAATCTCCTGCCGTAGCTCAGATGGCTCTGCAGGACACTTTCAGGACAAGTGAGATGGGACCACTGACCCAATGAAGGCATGTGTTGGGCCCTCCCTGCTGGGCAATGACCTTAGGCCTGGTCAGCATGACTGAGGGGCTGTGTGGGTACCAGAGTGGATGGAGATTAGACATGAGTGGAAGGAAAAGGTAGGGATGGCCCCAGCTAGGACTTCAGTGTGGGTTCATGGATTTGGGGGTGAAGTTGACTTCTAGTTCCGTGGATCACATCTGAGTGATCCTTCTTCCATTTCTCTCTTTCTGTTCATGTTAGGAACTTCTATGTATCTTCTTTAAAAATATTTATTTACTTCCATTTATTTATTTAATTAGTTAGTTTAAAAGGCAGACTTACAGAGAAAGAGAGAGAGCCCTTCCCCTGCTGGTTCACTCTGCACATGGCTGGAGCTGGGCCAGACTGGTTCCTGCCTCCAGTCTCTTGTATGGGTGCAGAGAATGAAGGGCTTGGCCACCCTCTGCTGCTTTCCCCGAACAAAGCTTGGTTGAAAGTAGAGTTATGCCCAGAGAACCAGCCCCTATTTGTTTTTGCTTTGAAAAGTAGAGTTGCAGAGAGAGAGAGAGAGAACAAGGGAGAGCAAACGAGAGGAAGAGCCAGAGTGACATCAGTCTCCCATGTGCTCATTCACTCCCCAAGTGGCCACAGTGGCTGAGGCTTGGCCAGTCCCAAGCCAGGAGCTTTTCCCTGGTGTCCCACATGGGAGCAGAAGCCTTAGCACTGGGGCCATCCTCTGCTGCTTTGTGCCAGACCATTCATTAACAGAGAGCTGGATGTGAAGGGGAGCAACTGGGATTTGAACCAGTGCCTGGTTGGGATGCCTGTGCCTCAGGTGGTAGCTTTACATGCTGCGCCAAAGCACTGGGCCTGGTTATTTCTATGTTAAAGTTTGGATTGTAATAA